AAAAAAAAAAAAAAAAAAAAAAAAAAAAAAAAAAGCAGCTGCTTCCAGCTGCTGTGAGTTTGACCACATTATAAGAAAATGGATGAATGGGCAAAAAGCTGCTGTTATGACAGCCAAATTCATCATTGATCAGAACTCTACGTTCACTCTTTCTGAGTTACAAGAGCATACATTTTAAAGAGTGATAATATAAGAAGTTATACTACTTTGTAGACAAGAAAGACTTTAGGCTAGGAGCTGTGTTTCAAGCTAAATGCAACCAAGTAACAAATAGATGTAGGAATTCATGTGAACTTCACTTGGCTCAGCTTTGGTGTAGCATGTACACCTGCATTACAAACTGTTCTATATTCAGTGACACTCACACAAATGACAAGTCCCTCAGCAACCACAAATGACTTCATGGGATGGATCCTAAAGAGAAGCCCACAACTATCTGCTTGTTTCCAGGAAGCACAGCAGTTACTAGAATGGCAGTGTTTGCATGGAAATCCTTCTGGATTCCTATAAATGTGCTTTAAGTGATTGGAAAAAAGGTCAAGCGGGTGCAACGTAATTTAATAAGGCAGCTTTTTCCTCATACAACCAGTGAACATGGCACTGTTTTGCACATGTGGGACAAACCAAGCACCCTCTGGCATAATGTATTAATGGATTCTACACCCAGGAGGTCATGGCTTTTTAAACAAGGGGCTTTTTAGACTTTAGACTGTTTGTTCAACATCATGATGCAGTAAATACTCAGAAGATCCCAGCTGTGCTTTAAACAACTAAATAAACGACAGACATCAGACAGACTGGCCCCCAGCAGCTCCTGTTGCGTACGTGTCTAAATAGAAAGCAAGCTTTGAAATCTGAAGCTCTTTTTGAAATCTGTAACCAATAAGATATCCTGTGCCATATTCTCCCTGCCTAGATGTCAGTAAACGTATTGAATCTGGTTTTGGTTTTGCTTACATCTCTGTGCAATAGGAATGTGTATGCAAAATCAGTGCTGTTACCCAAGCATGCTTGCGAAGGGAATCATGTTCCCTCATCGTTCATTATGGCTCCAGTTACAATAACAAAAAAGAGTAGAATTTGGCTCTTACTTTTGTGTCTGAAATGGCATCATAAAGTGATTCTCTTGTATTTTTCACAGATATACCAATCTGCAACCATAACTAGAGTAAAATAAGAAAGTAGTTAAGAGTGCCAATTTTACTTAGCAATTTTTTAGAGTGGAGCCAAGCTTCAAGGGGAGTTATGTTTATTTATGCCACAGCCATGAATAGATGCAACTGAATTTATACACTTCTATTTTTGTCAACTGAGCGCTCATACTTCTCACAGAATATGCGAGTTTACCCATTTCTGGTTTACTATCACATCACTATAATTCACTTACTATGCCAATCATACACAAAAGTTAAGCAAAGTAGTAATAAGGTTTTTTTCAGTTTTCCTATGAAGACGTAGAGACTCTTTAAAATGGCGGTCTTTGAAAATGAATTACATTTACAGCAGAATCACACATTAGAGTAATTAAATGATAATCATAAAGACTCTTGCTCCCAGATCGCTCAATAAACTTGGCTTCCTGTTTTTCCCTCATGTTTTGTCTGTAACTCTTCAGATACTTCACGTATTTTCTAAACTCGGTTTAAGTGTTATCTGTCAATTCTTCTGCGTAAGAGACTGCTTTCAATGCCAGTACAAATGCAGAAGTCAGAAAACATGAACAGACTAGACTGTGAGAAACATTCTTTCCATAATAAAGATCAATCCAACACTTCTACAGTTACTGATGTTAAATTATTTTGCAGTGCGCTAGAGGAGATAGAAGAGGCAAACCAATGTTCATAAAACTGTCTATGAAGCTGTCCCTCAAATTACCAACCACAAACTGTTAGCTTCCCAAATAAAGTGTAACAAGTGTATTTAATGGCAAAAACAACGTAAACTGAGAGAAAAAATATGTATGTCTCCAATCATATAAGACATTCAGTATAACCAAAATACTACTGTGCAATTAATTTTAAAGTTTAACGTTGTTATTTCATTTGCTAGATAGCATAAAATAAATTAGTATCATATAAAGTCTCATTTGAATTAAGAAATGTATTTATTAAGTAAAAGGTTACTCTTCTACACAATAGAATATATTTGATAGAAGTCAGATGCTCTAAGTAACTAGCAGTCCCCCTGATTGAAGTTTAAAGCTCTCCCTTCAAGAAATACAACTAAGAGCTGCAGACAATTATCTGTGTGGCATCATAGAGAAGCAGTTTTAAGACTGTCTTAAATACATACATATGTACAGAGTCTATATACTATTCATGTACACCGCTGTTTCTTCAAAAACATCTGCTTAAAAATTTGTACTTGGGCTATATTTTCAGTCAGCATAAAGTGAAGATGCTCTGCTGACATCACAAAAGCCATGCTGAGATACACTGACTGTAGGCTGAGTTCAAGCCCTGTCAGCAGATATCAGTGGAAAACCTTCTAAGAGACACGGTGCACAACAAACAGGTTAGAGCAGGGTGACTGCACCAGACCAACAGCAGAAATTTAAAATACTTAATGGAAGTGAATTTGGTTCTCAGGTTTCTTCAAGGCTGGAGAACACAGATATCAAAAACTCTTACTTAAGAGCTAGATTTTTCACCTTATAATCAGCTTTTATACCTTCCATTTCCCTGGTTTTATACAAGAGTATATTTTCATGTAATGTATAATGCATAACTGTATACCTGCATTCTCTGGACTCAGAAATTAATGGTAGAGAAGTACATATTCTGTTTTTGTTTGCCCATTCAACACCCTTGTCACAGCATTCTTCCATTGAAAGATCTGCAGAAATGAAAAAAGAAAGAAAAACACAACAATATACTTATTACAGTCTTAATAAATAGCACCATATCTGTCAGTGTAAAGAAAGAAGGATAGTTCATTTTCCCTCCCTAATGTGCACAAAACAATGCACATACACAGAAAGGCAGCCAAGACCCAATGAGATATCCTTTAATACCTTGCAATAAGCTCAAGGTATTCCTTCATCTGTGAAGTAAACTAGAGTTTCCCTTATCCTTTCAAATAAAGACACAGACCACAGACTGATACTCCAGCAGAAAACAGTTCAGACAGAGATTGCATAATAAAGAGGTATGCCTCACTGCACTTCTTTATTATTAAAGGTATCAAAAGGAACCATCAAAATCCAGAAGAAAACAGGATAAATCAAATAACTGAGTGATATGAAAGATGAGTGATTCTCATTATAAAGTAATTTACAGAACTGTTTGTTTTTTTTTCCTGAGGTTATCATCAAATTAATCTGTGTGACCCAAAACTATGTCTGTAATGCAAAAATATTGTACACTTAACATATGAAAGAAAAATTGTACGGAAATCAATTGATACCTGAAACTCAGTGCAAAATCATACTTAAGATAATTATCCATGCAGAGCATTATTTTTGCTGAAATCTCTAATTGAAGAAAACTAAATAATGAACTGACAATCACTACATGTTTGTTTCATATTCCAAGTGCAAAAGTTCACTGCACAGCAGGTGTATCAGAACTTGGAATAAAACATGAGTCACATTTTCCTATTAATTATTTTGCAGTCCACACACTGAACAGCACCTTGTATAACAAATATGCAACCTTTGTTTCATCTATTTTTGACAAATTGACCTCATGGGTTGCACCCAGGAGTGCTGAGGTGACTGGCTGATGGCAGTGTGAAACTACTCTTGATTATCTTTGCTCTGAAAAAAGTTCCTGAAGAACTGAAAAAACATCCCCCCCATCTTCCAAAAGGGCAAGAGAGAACATTGGGAAAGTACAAATCTGTCAGTGTCATCTCACAACCTGGGAAGCTGATGGAGAAAATTCTCCTAGAAACCATTTCAGAACAGGAGGATATGAAAGTGATTAGAGAAGTTCCTCTGGTTCTCCCTGTACTAGTAATGAGGTTATTCTCCAAGTGCTCCTGCTGTCTGCGGGTTATAGCCTCCTTCCACCTGTCTGCTGAGCCACCCACCTCCTAACCTGTTGCAATCATTTAACCTGTTCATGATCACATTTATTTTGACAAAGACCAGAAGGAACTTACATGAGTTCCTCAAGTGGCAGACTTTCATTCACAGAGCAGTAAAGAGCAACTGAAAGCCAGAAGATAACCCTCTCCAGTAACATAGCTGCTTTCAGAGAATAACCTGTATTCCTGATAAGTGATTATAACCTAACCATTCCAAGAAAAAACGTTAGATAAGATTTTAGGATGTACCAGTCATCTAAGGGTCGGTACCCTTAAGGATGCTACTACTCCTACTGTGCAAATTTCTCAACCACTGAGAATAATTCTGCTATCTCTCTTTAGGAAAGATTAAATCAAAATAGAAAATATGTGAAGAAAGGCTGGGAGGATGGACAGAGGAATCAAAGCCTAGGTACATGAGGGGAGGCCGGAAAAAAACAACCAACCAACCAACCAGACTATTTTAAGCCTAGATAAGTAAAGCTTGTGAAAGGATGTGGTTTCTGTCAACAAATATTACAGAGGTAAACAGTAATCAGAATGATGGGATCAAGTAAGCCAAACATTCTTTAATAAGAAAATCATCATATTTCTAAATGGAATTGCATTTAATGTTAGCTTATAAGAGAGCTTTGTACTCAATGACCCAGGTCATTCTTCTAGCCTTACTTGCATATCCAAAATACTGATCAAAACTGTAACTCTGAATTCCAGGCAATATTTCTCTTGAATTCCTCACTGTGTCCAAAATTCATGCCAGTGTCTGAAAGCTAATTGCAGCTAATAATGATACTGGGAAAATCTGTCCTGTGAATAAATATCCGCCTGTGGTGAAAGACATACATTTGTGTCTGATCTTTTCTTTGGGAATAGGGGATCCTGTCTGCTGCTCTCTGTCTGCCAGTACACTGCTAACAAACATTTCATGCATTGAATTTCATACAATGTGTTACAAATAATTGTATTTTTTAGTGCTGTTGACTGCAATTAATCTTACTCATGCTGAAAAATGATACACATTTAACTGAAGCGCAGAGCTGGCTGCAGGCTTTTGCATGGCTTTGTACAAATGGTTCTTTAGCCAAATTCCTCTCCAGAAGGACAATCCCTGGCTCTGGATATAGATTCTTCCTCCCAGCTCTGGCAATACACCTCTACTCCAACCAAATAACTCAAGAATTCAAAGCAGGCCAAGCTAAGCAACTTCCTCTGTAGAAGTGTGTCCAGAAAAAGAAGGCTTTCGGATAGATTGTTGAGGGACAACTGTGGTCCAATATCCCTTCTTTCTTTTTTTTTCCTTTCTTTTGTGACATCAGAATTCATATCCTCCAAAGATCCTGCTAGAACTCTCTGGAGAACAGGGGGAAGTGGAAAACAAGCAGAAAAAAAAAGGACTCCACCCTCAAGGCCATTCTTCTCATACATAACAATAAAAGAGTGGAAAACATTTTCTCTAGCTTTGCTTCACAGTTTGCCTTTTAAAATGGTATTTCATGGATAAAACTCTATTCTTGCAAAATCTCTAAAAGTGCTTGTCTCACCTCAAGTTCATCTCCTGACTGCACTGGAATTTATTCTGATATTTTTGGCATTGAGAGTTACTAATGATTATTTAGAAACAGGATAGACTTATTGCCTTGTAACTTCATTTTTCCAGTGTTGTGGACTAAACTGTAAATGTGTATATTCATGTGGCTTCCAGTTGGAAGTCTTTGGGCAAGCAGTTTGTATTCAGACCATTTGTGCTTTTTTCATCCTCTTCAGGGGACCAACAGCATGGGGCAGCTATGGCATGTCTCACTTCTAATAACGAGAAGTTCCTCATATATAGGACCTGGAAAGAAGGGGTAGTGGAAAGCAGACAATAGAAACTACCTTGACAACAACATCTCAAGGATTCTCACTTACTGTGTAAAAAGTAATGATTCTTTTTTTTCCTTCTGAATATAACTACATGGCTTTTATTGCAGCTGAGTGGCTCATAGCACCCCTCTGTGCTGGAATGCTAGAGATTAAATACACATTACAGTACTGCTCTTCTGAACTTAGTGCCCCTAAAACTGTTTAGCCAAGTGCTTAATGTTATATGCAATTCAGACAAAGAAATCTCAGGCGTCTGAGCGACAAAACATTTCTGGGAAAAAGCTGATTATACTGTTTGCATTCAGATAAAATATGTATTTTTATTTGGAAAGAAGAACTCTACAGGAAAGTTGTAATATGCAGGCATACATTGTGTGGTCCATTGTGTGAGCTTTTGAAGCAATTGTTCAGCTTTCTGATGTCATGAGACAAAGATATGATGATAAAACCAAGATCTGTTAAGATGGTAACATTTACTTCTCATTCAGATTTTGCAGGTTACTTGACCAATTCAGGAGAAAATTCAAGCCTAATTTGGATAAAATCAGATGCATCTCCCTCACTACCTTATCCCAGTAAAAAAGTATGTGCAGAAGGGCAGCAATGAGAACATGAGTTGTAAAAACTCTACATGTTAATATAGGAACAGCTGGGATCCCTATCTTGATGTTAAGGTGGTTTGCGCAGTATTCTGAGAGAACTTCCAGGAGTCCTCTTCAAGGAAAAGGACAGAAGAAACACAGCTGGAACTCAGATATCTAATTTTATAAAAGCTGTTGTGAAGGGACTTATCAGATAACAAGTGGTTAAAGGTCACAGTAATTAAAACATTTTGTGCACATGATGTATTCATCTGCTAGCTACGAATTATGCTGACATTGGCAAAACATGCTGCAGCATATGGTTGTTTTAAAAAAAGTAGTTTGCTAATCTTAAAAGGACTGCCATACTCTGAAGGAGTTCAAAGCAAAAAATGTGGTCAAATTCTGTAAAAATTTCTATAACTTTAGACTTCTATGATGTAATAACTGCTTATTCAGCTGCTACAGTTAATAATTTCTGTAAAAGAAAGATAAGCTTAAGATTGTTATCCAAAAGCGTGATTCCTGGAATGAGAAACCCTGAATTCCTGCTGGGAATCATGGAAAAAGTAAGCAGGACTAAAATGGATTGGATAATTCTCATGGTGCTAGCTTTCCACCAAGATCAAAAAAGGTCAGATTTTTTAATGAACAACCTACAATAGCAGCTATTCTGTACAGCTGCACAGCTGATGGAAAAGCCTATGCACAACACAGGATTAAGATAGCTGTTCATCACTCAGTGCTATCTATGGATAACTTATAAACTGCTATCACTGATCATACTATCAGACCAAAGCTACACCTAAGCACAGGTGGACTTACCAAGCTAGTGCTATTCAAGCCTTCTAGTTCCTCACTACAAGTGAAGTGACCACGATATTCATTGACTCCCCAGCACACACAACCAGCTGTAGTAGGGTACAGATTTGGAAATAAGTCCAGGGCAAGGGGTTAAGGTCACAACTTCTTACTAAGATCTTTTCAATCTTTTAAGCACATCAGTTTACACTGTAAGAGACTCAGCACTAATGGAATGCAAGAGAACAGAACATGATTATCATTTCTCAGCATATGCCGATACAGACAGCAGGCAGACTCTGTGAAAGCTCAACACCAGTCCAACCAGTCCAAGTTTCAGCAACAGTACATCATCCTGAATTTCTGGAACTCTTGCTTACAACAGACACGCATTAGTTTAGGTTTCCAATTAGAAAAAATATTTTCAACTTTTACAGCATATCTTTCTTGTCAAGAAAACTCTCTTACTAGTAGTACTCACATAATTCCTAGCTGAAAAGAATAATGCAAATCTATATACATTATTAGATCCTCAAAATGACAAGTTGGTAATCCTCTTTT